AAATGATCAAATGATTAGATCTATTGCTTTAAATTGACATATTCTTTTCTTAAAAGATCACTAGAGTTTAAAGAAAGATTGAATATGTTATTTGGAAATGAAATTAATACTCTATTTAAAAATAAACATCCTATTTCCTGACTGTAAAAAAAAAATCTATATATTCCAAAAAGGAAATAGATGTATCTCCATTCAGATATATAAAATTCTGTCTTTGCTTTGCCACAGATATATAAAATTCTGCAGTCATCCTTAGAATAGCACTATTACTATAAGTGCAAAGTTTATAATTTTTATAAGTGTTTATATAATTGTTTACGTATTTTTTATAAAATTTAAAATAAAACACAATTTCAAAACCTGATTGACATTTTTTTATATTCAAAAACCAAATTAGAAGTGGCCCAAGCTTCTCTCAACCTCGGAGAGGCCCTCTGTTCTAGCTGATCTGAACTGTATTAAATAAAGGATTGACTTTGAGTTTAAAATTGCAGGGAAAGGGACTTGCTTTAGATTACCTTCAATTTGCAGTCCGTGTTTAGACAAGGCTAAGACACACTTGCACAATAACAGCCAGCTTGACTGAGACTGCAGAAGTCCTGTGTCCCAAGAGCCAACCTGCTCAAGATCCTCTCCCCTGTGTCCACAACACAGAGGTGGTCACATGTCCTGGTGTCCCCCGCTGGCAGTGGTTGGGATTGTGACAGAGCCTCGTCCTAAATAACTCCCTGTGGCTCAGCCTGATTACAATTCTTTCTCAATATAGTCTCTGATTTGCTTTCCAAAGGTCAGCCGCTTGAGTTAATGTGTTTCAGGGATGACCCATTCAGCTTGCATTGAAAATAGATAATTTTTATAATTTGAAAGAGAAGATAGAGCTTTTTGGGAAGTGGGAAAACACAAGCCCCTCCCCCACTCTTGACTTGAGTTTTTGAACTATAACAATAAAAGAAACAGAAATTAGAAACCCATTAACAATCTCAGCATCCGTCTCTTCTTCTCCTGGTCCACATAGGGTAATTTTGGCAAAGTTGTAATTGTGGCATGACACAATTTTTTGTTCTGTCTTTTCTCCTCATGTCATTCATTCAAAAAAAAAAAAATCTAGCTCTTGAGAGGGGAGGAGTTTCTTTTTATTCTAAAGATGGTGTAATGTTACATAAAGTTTGGACATATTTTTTTTTTAAATGCACTCATAAGCCTGCCATCCTTACCAAACAACTTTAAATTTTACAGTTCTATCTATACTTTGTTCACTGCATA